TTTATAGAACATTTCAAGTGAAAGTTAGATCTCCACATGAGATTGAGAAACTTAAAGTAAACATAATAATAATAATAATAATAATAAGAAGGTTAGATCTCACATGAGATTGGAGAAAACTTAAAGCTAAACATAATAATAAATATAATAATAATAATAATAATATAGCAATAATAATAATAATTAATAATAATAATAATTAAATATAATGGAAATGAGAATTATATAGTTATTAACAAAAACACATTTTTAAATATCTAATGATTTTAAAAAAATTACAAAAAGGGGAGAGGAGAAGAGCGTCCATCATGAAAAAGATCTCTCTTCTCTCTCTCGTCTCTCTTCCTCTCTCTCTCTCGTCTCTCTCTCTCTCTCTCTCTCTCTCTCTCTCTCTCTCTCCTCTCTCTCTCTCGCTCTCGTAAGTATAATATATATATATATATAATTTTTTTTTGAATGTTGCATGCATATCGTTTGAATAACTTCATTAAGCATGACTTTAAGTTTATTTATTGATTCTTTTTTATAATATTATATATTTTTTTTTTTGAATGTGCATTGCATATCGTTTGTACTCATTAATCATACTTTTAATTTATTTTTTATTGATTCTTTTTTATAATATTCGTTAAATATAATAATATTTTAAATTGATGAAATATTATATTAGGTTATAATTTAAAATTATAATTTTAGGATTAGATTAAACTTCCTAATAGAATTTAGATTCAAATAAGAAATCAACATAACCAATTAAAACTAGACTACCTTTATTTCTCAATTAATAAAATTAAAGTCATCAATGATATTTTTCTTAATTCATAAACATAGCAAAGGCATTTTAGAAACCCGATGTCCCTCCCTCCGTTCGTACTTTTATATCTAATTTTTCTCAACATACATTGCACATGAGTACTCATTATATTTACTCGTTATATAGTTATGTAAATCATTTTTATATTGTTTTTCTTGCTATTTTCAAAATTTTAATTTGTTGAGAAAGATATAGATAGACTTGGTGATTTTTATTTTATTATACTTTCCTATCCCATTTTATTTGCATGGTTTGACAAAACATGCGTATTAAGAATTTAGTCAATAAAAGTTATTTTGCCCTTTTTTATCCTTAAATAAATCATTAAGATATCAATAAAAATCATTCATTTAATAAACAATCATAAAAGTTATTATGAGAAAAATAATTGTTTGCATATCTAAATTTAAAAACCTTGCAAATATTTTGGTACATCCAAAAAATGAATAATAAGCAAATAAAATGAGACGGAAAGACTATATTTTAACATTACACGTTCATAAATGTTGAAAATAATAATATTAAATATTTATTAAAAATAATAATTACAATTGTTCCATTTGCTAGATCAATCTCCTTGTATCTATAGAAGAGCCATTGGATTAGTAAGTGCAAATGTGAAGTCACTTTATTTATTATTTTAAACAGGGTTATTTTTTTTAACATTATTGATGAAAATTTTAAATATATTTTGTCATCTATTTGATAGCAAGACCTCGTTGCAGACGTCGTTCTTCATGTATGTTGCATCTTTTTTTTTTTTAATCAACTTTACAAGGACATTTGTTGTGAACATCAATATCCATCTTTAATCAACTTTATAAAGCTGTCTATGTGAGAAAAACATCCTCTGGCAAATAGACTCCCATATTTGATATTGTTTGTCCCTAAAACTTGTTTATTATCATTGCGAAGTAAAAGATGGATTGAAAATTGCTTCGCGAAATGAATAGATATCCTTTATTTTCTCCAGGCGAGAGATGAACGTTGTCCGGTTAGGGTTTCTATTTTGTTCTAAACTGGTAAGGTTGTAAAAGATTTATTTAGTTAAATTTGACTATCATTTTTTAAATAGTTCAAATAAAATATAAATTCTTTTTTCTTTCTTTTTTTCTTTTTTCTTTCTTTTTTTCTTCTTTAGCTAACTTGGTATATTTTAATTTTTTTTAATATAAAATTTAAATGTTAAAAAAGGTAATAACTATTTTCTAAAATAAAATATAAAAATAAATAGATAAAAAATAATATTTATCTTAAAATTAACTAGTATTATTTTTCCTAAAACTTCATTCTTGTGATTAACACTCTCATAGTTAATTCTCTTGAGAGTATCATCATATTGAACATGAGTTTGGTCTTTCATATTATTGTTATCTCCTATAAATTTATTTTAAAAAAAATAATAAAGTAGCAACATAGTTATATATAAAATAATTACTAAGGCTATGTTTAGTTAGATATAATATAACGTAATGTAATCAAAGATGTAATGCAATGAAAAATGTAATGGAATGAAATGTAATTAAGATTCCATTATTTTGTTTGGTAATATAATTGATAAAATTTATGGAATATAATCATCATTCCATTTTTATATTTATTTGTAAATATGTAATGTGATGTAATTAAAATACTACTATCACCAATCCTTTACCATCACCAATCACACCACCATTATCACTCCACCACCACCACCATCACAACCTCCAGCCACATCACCATCACCACTCCACCACTACCACTACCAATACCACCACCACCATCACCACCACTCCACCACCACTAACATCTCAAACACCACTCCACTGTTATCACATCATTATTAATACAAAAGAAATCTCTGAACTAAAAACTATTCATTACATTAAGCTATTACAGATCATTTAGTTTTATAAATTTATTTGAACTAAAAAATTAAAAAAAAAGTAAGCCGAAAAAATGTAATTTAGGGGTAATCATTCGGCTAATTCAATCAATTTGAGTAAAATTTTAACTGAGATAAATTAATCAACTTTTTTTTCTTAACCGAATTAATTTTTTAACCGAACTTAATCGAAACATTTTAGCCTAATTCATTTTGCTTCTTAACCAAATCGAAGTTAAAGAAAGTAAAACTTAATTAACCGATGAAATTTAACTGAAATTTATGATTAACTGATAAGAAGTAACAAAAGTTATTAATTACTACTTAATCAAAATAAAAACTAAAATATTTTTAATTTTTAATTTTATTATCTAAAAGTTATTAATTACTACTTAATCAAAATAAAAACTAAAATATTTTTAATTTTTAATTTTATTATCTACTTAATCAAAATGACGTAGTTTTGAGAATCAATTAATTTGATTAATTCGATTAAATTAATTTTTAACTAATCACTGAAATTTTAATTTTCTTTTACCAAACATTTATTCACCGAATTAATCGAATTAATTGAATTGGCCGAATCGAATGCTCATCTCTAATATAATATAACAAAATAAAATTTAATTAAGTCATTAGAAATTAAATTTTTTCATATATTTTCATCAAATAAATTAAATTATAATATAAAATTATGGGTAATTTAATATTTTTAGTGATTTTTCATTCTATTCTTACCATTCCTATAATAAAATAAAATAATAAAATATATTTTTTGTTCCGTGTTGTATATTGAACACTAAAATATAATTTTTATTATATGGTGGTGGTGGTGGTTATGGTGGCCATGGTAGAGTGATTAAGGTGGTGGTGGCAGCAACGCAAAGTGATGGTTGTAGTGGTGATGATGGTGGTTGAGGTGGACGCGGTGGAGCAGTGGTGATAGTGGTAGAGCGATGGTGGTGGTAGTTGAGGTGGTGATGGTGGTTAAGGTGGTGGAGTGGTGATGGTGATATGATTGGTGGTTGAGGTGGGGGTGGTAGTTAAGGTAGAGGTGGTGGAACAGTGGTGATGGTGGTGGTAATTCAGGTGGTGGTGATGGTGGTTAAGATGGTGGTGATATGGTGGAGCAAACGGTGATGGTGGGAATGGTGGTGGTGGAGCGATAATGGTGGTGGTGGTTGAGGTGGCGACGAGGGCAGTGGAGCAGCATTGGTGTTGGCGACGCCATGGCGATGGTGGTGGTGGAGTAGTGGTGGTGGTGGTGGTGGTGGAGCGATAATGGTAGTGGTGATGAGGGTGGTGATGGTTTTGGCGCAATGGTGGTGGTGGAGCGCGGTGGTGGTGGAGTAGTGGTCAAGTGGTGGTGGTAGCGGTGGTACTGTGGTGGTGATAGAGTGGTTGAGGTGATGGTGGTGTTGCTGCGGTGGTGGTGGTGGTGGTGATGGTGGTAAGGTGGTAGTATTAAATAGCCTTGAATGATAAAGTTTTTATTGGGATAACTAGATGCAATTGGTATTACATGTGTTTGATATAATGGACAATATATATGTTTTTTGATATAATGAATACTATATCAAATTAAGTAATGAAGATTACACATGTAATCTCAATTATATTACATTGTCCATATTAGCAAAATAAAACAAATCACATATATTTAGGAAGAAAATCAGTTACTAATATTACAGAATTAAGTAATTGAAGATTACACATGTTTAAATCTCAATTATATTACATTGGTTCAAAATATTAGCCAAAATAAAGGAACAAATCACATAATATTTAGGAAAGAAAATCAGCAACTAACAGCAACATATCTTTTTCATCAAATTATTTTTATTTGTTACCATAATTAGATATGCCTTTTGGTACTGCAACAATATCTTTCATCATAATTAGTTTATTTGTTACCATAATTAGATATGCCTTGTACTATGTTAGACTATGATGTATACAAAATTCTGATATGAAAAATAATCCAATTCTTCCAAATTCTTCTTAGCAAACATGTTATCAGAGCAGTGTTATGATCTGGGACCAATAACTTGGTGCTCATCATCTACCTGAAAAAGCCACAACCGATTTCCAAACCCCAATTCCTTAACCTGAAAAAATAAACCAAGAACAATGTCAGAAAAATCAGAAACCTCAAATTACACAGGGAATCAGACACCCCCTGATGATTTAATCCTCTAGTTAGCCAGTCTTCTGCGAAATGGACTGGGTAATCAACAAGCCATTGAATCCAATTCTGACAATCTGTCAATTGGATTCAAATTCAATGGTGATAATTATCCGTTATGGGCACATCTCATGCGGATGGCAATTGGTGGGAGAGTAAAAGCACATTATCTCACCGGAATGCCACCAGAAACTTCTGATCCAACGTTTGAGAGATGGGAACAATCAGATCAAAATGTTTTTACGTGGATTATTCAAAACATCGAATCCAACTTAATCAACAATGCCGCACAATATCCAACAGCCAAATCCCTGTGGAATGGGTTAGCAATAACATATGGAAGTGGTGTAGATTCTCTTCAAACGTATGATCTACATCGAAAAGCAAGCACAATCCGGCAAGGTCAGGAAACTCTAGAAAATCTTTGGAACAAACTACAAAGCATATGGATGAGTATAGAGCACAATATCCAACAGCCAAATCCCTGTGGAATGGGTTAGCAATAACATATGGAAGTGGTGTAGATTCTCTTCAAACGTATGATCTACATCGAAAAGCAAGCACAATCCGGCAAGGTCAGGAAACTCTAGAAAATCTTTGGAACAAACTACAAAGCATATGGATGAGTATAGACCGAAAACAACCAAATCCCTATGAAGGATCCACAAGACATCATCATATTCAATAAATTTATTAGAGAATAGAGACTATACCAGTTCCTTATTGCCATTGATGATAAATATGAAGCTGTCAGGAGAGATATCTTGAAGCAGGAACCTCTTCCCTTAGTAGAGTTTGCCTACGTCACTGTTCGTAGAGAGGCCGCCAGGCTTTAGATTCTGAAATCGGCAACCACCAGTGACGTAGACACATCATCGGGAGGTATAGGGACAGGACTGGCTATCAAAACAACAGGGGACCGAAGCAAATTTGGATCGCTCGAGGGACGAGGTCGCGACCGCTTGGATTCCACCGGAAAACAATGGAAATCATCATCGTAGGAGGATAAAGCAATACTTCACTACACACATTGTGGGATGAAAAAACATACCCGAGAAACATGTTTCCAGTTGGTGGGTTATCCCGATTGGTGGGAGGATAATCACAAACCGAATAAAGGCAAGCGGAGCAAGGTGGCTGCCGCTGTGGGCATCCCAGAGGTCACCGTCAACAACGGCAGCGGCCAATAGAGAGATAAAGGGAGCAACAGTTCTGGGCAATAAGGGTTTGCTGCAATGGGCGGCAGTGTGAACCCTAGCAGAGAAGAGAAACTAGGTAAAGGAGAGAAAGAAAAAGCCAAACCAAAAAATGAGAGTGTAGGCCGTGAATTGGAGAGCTAGCCCGAGGAAGTGTTCTTTAAAAGGCCAAATGGGCCTCCTGGTTCTCTAACCAAAACCCAATAGTGCAATTCTATTGGACCAGCAGCCTCGTGGGTCTACCAATCTCAATCTAGCTTCAAAAAAATAACGGACTGGATTTTTTATTGCGAGGCTACCGACACAATGACACATGATCCATCGGATATTATTAGTCCAGTTTTGCCCTCAAAAACTCATGTTCAAACTGCAAATAGGGATTTCTCAGAAGCTAAAGGAGGAGGATCAATTATTATTAGCCATAAATTAAAATTAAAAAATTGCCTCTATATTCCATCATTGTCTTGCAAGCTTTTGTCTATAAGTCATGTGACTCAAGAATTGAATTGTGTCGTCCTAATGTATCCACATTTTTTCCTTTTGTAGGACATTCATACGGGGGAGATCATTGGGCATGGTACTGAGTGCGGAGGTCTCTACTATGTTGATGAAGTGGCTCATAAGAGTACTGTTTTGATGGCTCATGGGACAAATGATCGACAAATCTGGCTATGGCATCGACGGCTAGGTCATTCATCCCTTAGTTATCTTCGTTTTTTGTTTCCCGCACTTTTTAAGAATAAAGATACTCATTTATCATATGAGACTTGCATTTTGGCAAAAAGTCATCTGGTGTCATTTAGCCCAAGTAACACTAGAGTTAAAACAATTTTTTCCTTGATACATTCTGATGTATGGGGACCTGCTCCATACCTAAATAATAGTGGTTTTCAGTACTTTGTGTTGTTTGTTAATGATTATTCTCGCAAGACTTGGGTATATTTTATGAAACAAAAGTCTGAAGTGCATGATAAATTTGTTGCCTTTTTCCGAATGATGCAAACTCAGTTTAATCGAAAAATTCAAGTTCTTCGTTCGGATAATGGTGGAGAATATGTGAATGGTGCCATGAAAACTTTTTTCCACGAAAATGATCTAATCCACCAAACCTCCTGTCCTCACACACCTCAACAAAATGGAGTTGCAGAACGTAGGAATCGCACCCTTCTTGAAATGACCTGAGCAATGATGATTGAATCCAAGGTACCCAAGTATTTCTAGCCATAAGCTCTTGCCACATCAGCCTATCTTCTTAACCTCCTGCCTACAAAAATTCTTGATCACAAAACACCACTCTAAGTCCTTGAACCCAAACTAACATCCCATAAGCCTTAACCTTACCACCACGAGTATTTGGATGTTCAGCTTTTGTCCACATTCCAAAAACGGAACGGACTAAGCTAGATCCCTGTGCTGTTAAATGTATTTTTGTGGGATATGCACTTTATCAGAAGGGGTACCGGTGCTACAATCCTGATAATCGGTGCATTTATGTAACCATGGATTGTGACTTTCTTGAGACAGAATATTGCTACCTTACCCAACCTAGTGCTCCGGGGGAGAACAATAGTGACCCACTAAGTTGGCTAAGTGGTGTGACTCTATCAAACAATTCAGATACATAGATTTCAGATACTTTGGAGACTCCTTTTGAGCCACTCATCAACCAGGAACAGACTAATGTCAACATGCCCCCTAGTGATACTCCTTCGAATGATGTTCAACAAGAGGTAAGTGAATCACCTATCTCAACTATACCTACTTTTGTTAATAATGATGTTTTACAGAATGCTAATCCTATCATGGAAGAATTAGAGGAAGATAGTAGACGTGTTCTGCCCCACAGAAGTATTCGAGGTATTCCACCAAGAAGATACTCACCAAAACATGTTTCAAGAACTACTAGATATCCTGTGGGAAATTTAGTAGTTCTTGAAACATGTTATGGTGAGTATCGTCTTGGTGGAATACCTCGAGTACTTCTGTGGGGCAGAACACGTCTGGTGAGTATCGTCCTTGGTGGAATACCTCGAGTACTTCTGTGGGCAGAACACGTCCTACTATCTTCCTCTAATCACAATGATGGGAATTAGAGGAAAGATAGTAGCACGTGTTCTGCCCAAGCCGCCCAACTACACCATCTCCACGCTCACCATAACACCACGAACTGGCCACCCACAAATAATTTATCAACCCAAATACTCGCTTACGGCACCCCTTTCTCTACTGACCCAGTTACACACCCACAAACCACCACACTCTCCACGCGACAAATCCAATCCCACCAAAACTTTCCCACAAACCAATCCACCGCGAAAGAGGAACCATCCCCGAACCCCAACCATCCAACCAATCCACCCAAGCACCGACCCACTGAGTCAAGAAACAGTATCGGGTATTCCACCCAAGAAACGATACTCACGCATTAGAGGAAGATAGTAGACGTGTTCTGCCCCACAGAAGTACTCGAGGTATTCCACCAAGACGATACTCACCAGAATATATTTTAAGAACTACTAGATATCCTGTGGGAAATTTAGTAAGGGGGAGTATCTCAGAAGTAGCAAAAGTCTTTATTGTAACATTGTACAATGAAGAAATTCCAAGAACCGCACAAGAGGCCAAAAAAAAAAAGGAGTGGTGGTTAGCAATGAAGGCAGAAATGGATGCTCTTGAAAAAAGTAGTATATGGGAAAAGTGTAAGCTTCTAGCAGGAAAAAAACCAGTTGGGTGCAGATGGGTCTTCACCATCAAACATAAAGCTGACGGAACCATAGAAAGATATAAAGCTCGACTTGTGGCAAAAGGATATACATAGATGTATGGAATATACTATTCTGAAACTTTTTCTCTAGTGGCAAAGATTGATACAATTCGAGTTTTATTCTCAATAGCAACGAACAATGACTGACCTCTTCATCAATTTAATGTAAAGAATGCCTTTCTTCATGGAGACTTGAAAGAAGAGGTGTACATGGAAGCTCCACCAGCTTTCTCCAGTGAATTTAAGGGAAATGAAGTTTATAGACTTCAAAAGGCACTTTATGGGCTTAAATAGTCTCCACGGGCCTGGTTTGGGAGATTCACAATAGCAATGAAGTAGTATGGTTATAAGCAGAGTAACTCAGATCATACTCTTTTCTTGAAGAAGAGAGAGAGCCTAATCACATGTCTGATAATTTATGTTGATGATATGATCATAATAGGGAGTGATGTGGAAGAAATTGCAAAACTTCGTGAAAACCTATTCAAAGAGTTTGAGATGAAAGACTTAGGTGGGTTGAAATATTTCTTGGAATAGAGGTTTTGCAGTCTGGCAAAGGAATCTTTATATCTCAAAGAAAATATGTTCTTGACTTACTTACAAAAATTGGGATGGTCGATTGCAAACCGGCGGATACCCCAATACAAGTCAACCATGGGCTTCGAAGTGTAACAAATGGAAAATTGGCAAATAAAGAATGGTACCAACGACTAGTTGGGAAGTTAATTTATTTATCCCATACTATACCAGATATAGCTTATGCTATGGGAGTTGTAAGTTAATTTATGCACCAAACATAGGAGGATCATATGGAGGCAGTCATGAGGATTGTGCGATATTTGAAGGGCACACCGGGAAATGGGATCATATTCAAGAAAAATGGACATCTAGATATTGAAGCATACACTAATGCAGATTGGGCAGGAAATCCAAATGATAGAAGATCTACTTTAGGATACTTTACTCTGGTCGGTGGAAATATAGTAACTTGGAGGAGTAAGAAACAAAAGGTGGTGGCGCTCTCCAGTGCTGAAGCAGAATTCAGGGGAGTTGCTAAGGGAGTTGCAGAAATTTTGTGGATTAAGAAGCTGATGATTGAATTGGTTTTTGCCCAAAACTTCCAAGTATGCTAAAATGTGATAATAGGGCAGCAATAAGCATCTTCGAGAACCCTGTACAACATGACAGAACAAAACATGTGGAAGTGGATTGGCACTTTATTAAGGAAAATATTGAGGGTGGCATCATAGAACTTCCATTTGTTAGATCAGAAGACCAACTGGCAGATATTCTTACAAAAGCTGTGACAGGGCGAATATTCAATGAAGTGTTGTGCAAGTTGAATATCGAGAATCCCACTATTCAACTTGAGGGGGAGTATTAGTAGAATAAAACAAATCACATATATGTAGAAAGAAAATCAGCAACAATATCTTTCATCATAATTAGTTTATTTGTTACCATAATTAGATATGCCTTGTACTATATTAGACTATGATGTATACAGAATTCTGATATGAAAAATAATCCAATGCTTCCTAATTCTTCTTAGCAAACAGTCCAAAAAAAAAACCTAACCAAATAATGTAATCAATCATGTGATGTAATCCCTATTCCATTACATGGTTGATTACTTCATACCAAACATGGCCTAAGACAATAAGAACTTATTCTTGATAGCAAATTCAAAAATTATTTATAGCAAAATAAATAAATTCTTGATAGCCAAATATAATTAAAACTGAACGTATATATAGTGATATGATATGACAAAATATTTCTCCAATAGGATTCTAATTCCTTATTAGAATGAAACAAAACGTATCAATTAGTATTTCTAATATATAGTTAATTTATAATTATAGTATATAAAATAATATGTTAAAACAATACAAAGTTTTCCTCGTCGTTCATGAATTTTTGTTCATCTTATGTTATTATATCTTTTTCCCTCTTACCTATAAAATTCTGAATTTGGACAAGGAAAATCCTTACCGTAAAAATCATAAATTATGCTTTAAAATTAATTCGATAATCATCAACCTCAACTCAATTAGAAAATATAAAATTCAAAACATTACCACTTTCTTTGAGTTACGGGCTCAACTCGCGATGCTCTAAGTGAGCCGAAAATAGCTAATTGCCTTAAAAAGATTAAGCACCATCTCCAAGTTACGGGCTCAACTCATTATGTTCTAAGTGAGGCCGAAAAAAGTTAAGTGCCTTAAAAATGTTAAGCACCTTCTCCGAGCTATAAGCTCAACTGGCCATGCTTTAAGTGAGCAGAAAAAATGGTAAGTGCCTAAAACAGATTAAGCACTTTCTCCGAGCTATGGGATCAACTCGCCATGCTCCAAGTGAGCAGTAAAAGGCTAAGTGCTTTGAAATAAGGGTGAGCTTTGAAATAAAATAATAATGAAAATAGAAAATGAATAATAATTTAGATATAAATGTCTAAAACTGAGAGGGGACATCTGATAGAATATAAATATTTATCATGGATTTAGTAGTAAGTTATACGTAAGTCTCCAATAATTATAAAAACTAATACGAATATTTAACATAGAATCCTAATTAGGAATATATAAGTTTTTCCTAATTAAATACTGTTGTGGGGTTCAAGAAGAATCCTATATAATACAACATTATTTCTCAAAAGAGGGAATCAATAGCTCTCAAAGCAATAAAACTCTAAATACTATTAATCTTTCTCTAAAAATAGTTTCTGATATCTTAGAGGCTATCAGCGCTAATTAAATTAAGAAAACTAAGTTAATCAATTAATTTATATTTAATCCCACCCAGATATGTTTGCAAGTGAGCTAACTGCCTCTTCAATCGAGCCGCATCTCCTTTCGGCCTTTTCTGACGAATCATATAATTCTACGAATTCAAAAAATAAAAAAATTGTTCTTATATCGAATTCGATCCTATCCCAAATTTTCTTTTGCTAGGCCCATGGCTAAAAAACCCACTTCCCTATTTTGATTGTGCCTCAACTATATGAACGGTACTTGAACTTAAACTAATTAATTTTTTATTGCCACATGGGTGTAAATTTTGTAATTCTTTTTTCAATTACTATATGCTAAAAAAAAAGTTGAAATATCAAATTTGTAATTTTTGTGTACAGTAATTTGTAATTCCGTGTATATATATTGATTTCCTAAAAGGAATAGGATTTATTTTCTCATAAATTCGATTATTCTCTTACAGTAATTAAAAATAAAATATATTTATTAGTAAATAGTTAAGTTAACTAATATCCTATTTGTCAATCAGGTGTTGTTTAATTAGTTTCCTCATTTATGTGAAGAGTGAAAAATCTTAAGTTCGAGTCTTTTAGACTACAAGTTCACCAATTTAGTGTATAGCCCGTAGTGTTAACTTGGTCCATTAAGCCTCCCAATGAATCGTATTCTATTTATTTTAAGATTTCTAAATTAAATAAAAAATATTTATAATCTATATTATATCTCAATGTCCTACTTACTAATAAAATTTAGATTCAAATAGAAAATTAACATACTAATCAAAATTAAACTATATTTAGTTTTCAATCAATAAAATTGAAGTCCTTGATGATATTACAACTAAAACAATATTTAAAAGGATAAATAGTTTGCCCAATTAAAATGCATAAATCTAACTAATGGATATATTAAGAATTCTAAATTAATCGATCATAAAAAATTTCATTATTCTCTTTATTTTCATATTTATATATAATATAAATATAGATATATACATTGAACGAGCCAAAGGGAGCCAAGGGTGGCCTCCGCCCCCTAACTAAATTTTTTTTTTTTAAAGGATTACCATATAAAATATTGAAAATTTTTATTTTATTTCTTAAAATAATAAATTTTTTCAATTTTACCCTGTTTAACTCTTGAAGGATTTTCAGCCACCGCTATATATATATATATATAGAGAGAGAGAGAGAGAGAGAATAAAAATCCTAATCTTTATCGAACTAGAATTGAAGGAGATTAGATTAACCCTCTAAATAGCAGCATCATAGAAGACGTACTAAAAAATTATAGTGTTAGCATCATCCAAAACAATTAATAAAAAAATTATTCGAACCAGCAACTCTGCCCTTTCCTTATTGGCCCGTGTATTTCACGCTTCTTCCATTAAATCACCCTCCCGCTTTCCTTCCGCTCTCTGTTCTCTTTCTCACAGATCATCGCTTTCTCTCTCTCTCTCTCTCTCTCTCTATTCCCAAACAAACTGTGTAAACCCAACCGAAACATTATTAATTCTCTCTCTCTCTCTCTCTCTCTATTCCCAAACAAACTGTGTAAACCCAACCGAAACATTATTAATACATCACTCGATCAATCTTTTTTTCCAATTATTACGTACTTATGGAAAAATCAACCCCAGCAATCAAAAACCCAATAAAACCAGACACAGACACCCATAGTGTCCAACTAAACTCAAGCTTTCTCTTACACAACGGCTTTACTCCATCGATTCAGCTTTCCGATATTGAGATGATAGCGATACACTCTGTGACCTACACAAGCTTGAAGGACCTATTACCTGCTTCGCCTCCGACGATCTCGTCACCTACTCAACATAACTCGAGCTGGAATGAGATTCCTATCAAGAACCCATTGGTTAAGCAAGCGGCTTTGGCTTACTTACAGCCAATGTCCAGCCCGCCGGAGATTGGAGATAAAGGGCTGTTTGGGAGATTGAGAGATGCGTGTTATGTTGAATGTGGATGCTTCGAATGGTTTAACGACGTCGTATTAATGGGTATAACAGAGATCTTCGGGAAAGAAGAGAAGGTTGACTGAGAAGAAAGTGTGTGATATATTTGTTTTGACTGGTAGATAGATTTTTGCGTATAATGGCACAAATTGTAAATTATGATTCTTTTCTCCTTTTTTTTTTATTTTTATTTTTATTTTTTTGAAGGGTGATGGTCTACATATGAGTACAGAGAGATTTTTTTTCTTTTCTTTTTTTGTTTTTCAATTAACAATGAATTTTAGGAGGACTATGCCTTATTGTAGTCAGCAAGGAAACGTTTTGCTAATGGAAACCTATACCCTTTTTAGATATAATACTAATTTCGTTTTGGGATTGATTTCCTTTGCTCTTTGAATTTTAGATTACCTTTTTTTCTTAAAAATGGAATTCTATACCACTTTGGAAAGCTGAATTTTCTTTTTTTTTTTTTTTATTTGTAAGGCCTAGATAAGTATTTTCCAATTAAAACGGCAAAAAATATTTGATGGTAATAATTTTTTTTTGTATATATAATATATATATATATATATATATAATATGAACTCAAGAAATAGTTTTGTTATTTATCAGGAAAAAATGGATGAGATTTTTTTTTAAATATTAAGAAGAGAATTCAAACATGAATCTATTGTCAGACCATATATACACTTATTATTGAATTATTGTCAGACCATATATCATTGAATCTATTGTCAGACCATATATATATTTATTGTTGAATCTATTATCAGACCGTATATACATTTACTATTAAGAAAGTATAAAATCCTCCCTTTTTGTGAATGAAAAAAATAATAGATGTCTTTTTGCCTTCAACTCCCTCTTTTTATAGAGGGTTTGTTTGGTAGAATTCTAAAAAGATTTTATTTGGTATATCTTTAATATATAGTTTTAATTGGATTAAAGTGAATATTTTGAATATCTATATTTGTTTAGTTATATTTTTATTACAATCAAATAATGATATTATCAATATATATTAATTTTTTATTAGTTTTGTATTAAATCAAAGTTAAAAATTTTGTTAAAATAGATTTACGGATTATGTTTTGCTTTAAAAAAAAAAAAAAAAAAAAAAAAAAAAAAAAAAAAAGTTACGGATTAACTAACTCAATAAAAAAAAAAAAAAAAAAAAGTTACGGATTAACTAACTCATAGATAGATAGCTTAACTGGTTAAGTTATTTGAAGGGAAAGTAAAACCGAATTTCACTGTTTTAGAAAAGAGGTTGGCGGTATTTTTATTAATAAGTTATTTGCCTTTGTGTTGTTTTTACCTCGAAACTAAAAATAAAAATTACTATTTGTCATGATTATACTCAAATCTTATTATATCATAATTTTCCTACAAATAAATTAGAATTGTAATATAATAATGACTTAACCTTTAATCTCACTCTCAACTTCCTGAGTAGTTGCAATTTCACTCTAAATCAACCTTTATATTTTAGATATTTTGAACTTATCAATCTAGTTGTAATTACATCCTAAAAGTAAATCACAACGCCTGGAACTTACGATTTATTGCAAGCCTAAAAGTAAATGAATATTGAAATTTTAATTAACATAATATAAACATAGACTCCATAACCAACCCAAGTATTTATATAATAAATAAAAAAAAATCATGGCTGCGGCTTTGATTTTAAAATTGAACCAATTTTAAAATGCCAAAAACTATGAATTGCTTATTAATTCACGGTTACACTTTCTAGGACGATGAAATGCATATGATAATTCCTCTGCCATTATCAGCAACCATCATTTAATTTCCTACAAGGAAATAAAATAATAAGCTAAGAGACAAAAAGGGCAAAAAGATTAGTTCTTTCTTTTAATTTAAATGTTATTTTTTGCATTTACTAAAGTTTGGATTGATTATGGAATCTATTTTTACATTATTTTAATCAAAATTTCAATTTTAGTTTACTTTTAGGATGCAATTGCAACGAATCGATAAGTTCATGGTATTGCAATTCATTTTAGGGTGCAATTGTAATTAAGTTGATAAGTTCGGAGTGTCCAGAATATAAAAGTCGATTTGGATTAAAATTACAACTATTTAAAAAGTTTGGATTGAAATTGATGGTTAGCCCATAATAATCTCATTTTGAAGAATTAGATTGTGTTGACAAACAATCTAAATTTTGTTTAGATTCATTACTAAACTTAAAATTTGTACATTTCAAATTATTCTAACAACTAAGGCTCCATTTAGCGAACATTTAATGTTTTGATCATTATTTATAATGTTAAATGATGTATCGTTTACATTAGTGAATTTGACAGATATAAAATAATTAATTTTATCTCATAGTACCTAAATAAAAACAATGGAAAAATCCAGACTCACCATAAATTAAGGGGATAGATAATGAAAGAAATATATTAAAAGATACATAAACAAATAAGAAAACCAAATCTCTTTGGCGAAAATTGAGATGGCATCCGCAATTCATGACCTCGTTTTTTGTCAATAGAAATAGTTCGTCTCGCATTATCAGTTGTAATAATCACATTCTAAGACTATCTCAATCCTTTAAATATATTTCAATTTTAATTTTTTGTCATAATTATACCTTAAAATTCCAATTATGTTAAATTTATTTCAAAATTGAGCTTTAAATTTGAATTATTGCAAATTTTTTTATTATGATTGCACCTAAATTTTAGGTTTAGTCATTTTGGTGGTACAAACCATAGATTAATGGAGAAAAAGAGTAACCAGAGGGAAGGGTAAAAGCGAAGCGAGTATTTTAGGGCACTTGCCCCACCCTGGTCCAATTCATTTAATAAGAGTACAAGTAAAAATGGTTTTGAGACAAGACAAATAGTGAATTATTACCTGCAATAAATATGGATAAGATATGTGTATAGGTTTCTGAATATTTATTCTTCGTTAGCGCTGTATTAAATGGGATGGTTGTGGATATTGGTGGGCACTCAACTCATTTATTAGTAAAAGTTGTATTTTAAATAAGTTTATGTTTGATTTTTTTACGCTCTACAGTTTAAGGGAATTAAACCTTCTGAATATACCAAAAAAAAAAAAAAAAATCCAAAAAAAAAAAAAAAGGCAGTATCAACTAATTACGTTTATGCCCTACTCACGGGGTGATTGATTGCCAAAAAAAAAAAAAAAAAAAGGCAGTATCAACTATACGTTTATGCCCTACTCACGGGGTGATTGATTCCTTGTAGAAGTTTGTTGTGATGACAAATTCTCTACTTTTTGCTAATGCTTGGAAGATTTGGCGATGGCCATTTGGCAAAACATGGTTGGTATTGTTGCTTCACATGTTTCACTTACTTTAATTGCTGCTCTGAAATTCAACTCCATCTACAGATTGTTGTGCTTACATCATTCTCAAGTGTGAAATATGGCTAAATCAAAAAGATAAAAGTAGAAAATCCATTAAATATATAGCACCTTTTCTAATTTTAATTATATTTATTGATATCGTATGCTTTGCTTTGTAACTTCATTATGATTATTATCTAAATTTAGATATACAGCCATTGAAATTAATAATATCTGTCTCCATGAGATTAGAAAATTCATTAAATCAATAAAAAGCTAGTTTACCCAATTGGAAACTATCTAATGTATCACGTGTGGGTCCTATACTATTAATTTTTAAATTAATAGTTAAAATTAGCTGAATTTAAAAAATACTTATACATAAATCTACCATGAGTTTGAATTTATGAAGAAAGTTTGAATTTAGGAGAGCGAGTGGAAGACGAGGACGTGGTCACTCATTCTCTCTTTTCATGACTTATCAATCATCTATCGTCAAACAACCAGTAGCACCAACAACCTCACCTCTCAACAATAATTTTTCACTGCAGCCATCAACTGCAAACAACCAATGGATCTTTTGCTACCAATAATTTAACTTGTTATAATAGTAATGGTCTCGGTCATGTTATAATAGAAGGTCGGCTTTTGAACACGGACTTTTGAAACTCGATAGAAAACCCCATTGTTGATGCCAACCCAAAAACCAGGTTCAAGTGAGAGGTTCAGAACGACAGAGCTTAAGAACTATGACTAAAGAACGCGCCGAGAAGGCCGCTTAGGCCTAAAAAACCCATGTAAATACTGTGAAAATTGTAAATGTCATAGGAATTGTAACAAGTTATATAGTTAGAATAGGACATTCCTCAGATTCCTATAAGATGAAAATCACAATGTTGTAAAACACATGCAAATCAATATAACTAACTCAAACGTGCTAAGTATTTATTTTGTCTCTCATCCCTTTTTCTTCTCTCTCTCACCTCTTTTCCTTTTTTTTAACCCCTAATTTCTTTAATTTACATCATGTCCCTCCCACCTATTTCTTTTCCCCCTCTTATATCTTCTTATTCTCAACCTTTTTTTCTTTCAAACTAGCATGCCTGCGATCCATTAATCCAACCTATCCCTTAGCTATTCCTGATAGACACAGAGCCTAAGAAACCCTAATCAATTCTTCAGAACAAAGATTGTGTTAGAAAAAATGACACTTTATAAATTTTTATTTTTAAACGTTGAAAAATTTTGATATGATGTTTTTAGTGCAGAACAAGTACGAATAAAAATTAATCCTATTAAATTGAATCAATTTATTAATGTATAAAAATCAAAACAAATTCAAAAACAAAAGTTTTGATTCTTAATTTATTATTTTATCTAATATTTTAATTACCTCGATTCTACACGTAACAAAGTTTGGAAACAGTTTTGTCACAGCTTACGTGGCAGATTTCTCAAAAAATTCATATTTCAAAATTTTATCATCTTTACTTTAAAGATTTCTGCTATAGAAGAAATTTGCTCTACAACATAAAATAACATTTTTTTTTATCATTCAGAATCAATTATTAATTTTTCGACTTAAGAGCTATTAATTTAAATTAAATATTTAGAATTCAATTAAAATAACAACTCTTTACGCCTATCTTCTTATGGATTATGTTAGGAAAATTCTTGATTTAGATTTTTTTTTTTTTTTACTAGAAAAATGCTTGGTGTAAATATTAAATTAAGTTATATAAATATTTTTAGTTACACAAATATTGTATTTTGTATTTAAACATATTATATAATAAGTTAAAGGTCGGCCGTTATGAAAATAATTAATAATTTAATTTGTTATTCGTCTTTTTGACTAAATTTAATTTTAGTATTAGCACTTCAAAGAAATATAACATTAAATGCTGAAGATAAGCATGAGGTTGTGCTTTTGAACCGCTGGACCAGTCTCGATGGACCTGCAAATACCTCCAAGTCCTTTTCGACAATTTAAAGGAGAAAAAGAAAAAAAAAATTAATGTTACATTTAAATATACTCATTTTTTTAATAACGTGTGTTGCACATTTTTATTTTTAATGTAAAATTACACGTTATTATTATTATTCATCATTTACTCGTTAATTTATTTTTATATAATATTCAGTATGATTATAATTAAACTAGATGATTTAAAATAAATATATTAAATTAGATGAATAAATTTAGTCAATAGATATTTACCGTCATTCCACACTTAATTGAAATTTATTAATGAGTTTAGACACCTAATTGCAAACGTTTCCGTTGAAACACTAAATTAAAAAACTAAAAAATTTTATGGTGAAAACACCAAATTTACAATTAATCATTCTACAGCCTTATCATTTTAAAACGTAGTTATCATTTTCTTTTCAAGGGAAAATTTGAACTTACAATTAACACAAATCATCAAATAATACATGAATGATAAAATCTGGAAGAATATAACCCCAACACTTAAAAATCAGTAATAGATATACTCTGAGTTGCTGGCAAATAAGCAACTCGATTGGCTGATCTTTTTGTAAAAACAAGGAACAATTATGAAGTTCTTTAAAACTAGCCTTACAATAAAAAACAATCGAACCAAAATAAGGTAACTCAGTTTGTGACCGGTTCATGGCTCGTATAAGTAATACAGAATCAGACTCAAATACTACTCCTTGTAGCCCCTTACATTTTACTCAACTCAAGGCCCCTCTAAAATTGAGAGAGCTTCAGCAATTAAAGGATCATAACCTCTTTGCAACCGCAGTTGGCAAAAGTTCATTATCTAACCCGTCTCATCTTGTAGCTCCCATTCAGTGCCCGACTAAACCAGAGGAATGTTGCAGCGCTGCGTCGACATTACATTTCATGAAATCACGAGAAGGAATTAATCAAACTTTAGAAACATGATGCCTTTGAATCACTGAAGATGTTTGCTTTGGTTGAGCTTCTTTCCATTTGAGAAACCAAGCGGAATGTAGTGTATCCTTTCCATTCCATATTAGATCATTTCCATGCTACCAGATTGCCCATAAAATTATGCAGCAAGTTTGAACATCTTCAATTCAGTGAACCTGGAAAATATTTAACGGCCAACCACTCATAGTTAGCATCAAAGGTATGCTAGTAGATGGACTAGTGGATCTATTGGTCACCGAGTTTGCAGATCCTATGGACTTTCAGGATCAGGCTAGACAGAAACTAAGGATGAAGACTCTAATTTTCTGTCTTACAACTGGTTTATGTTTTATGCCCTCAAGGTTCGCGGAGACATGCAGGTTGCAGAGATTGTCCGTCAGATGAAGGATTATGGGAACATTGCTGCTCTACTATTGGCAAAGACATTGATTAGTTTGGATGCTAGTCAGGCTGGGAGACATCGGACTGCAAGTTCAGTCATGCTTCAGAAATGCAAAACTATCTCGAAGCTTCAATTATTTCTTTTATTTCATTTTACATCCCTGTTGTTTGATTACAGGTATGACTGAAGGATCACCTAAAGATGGTAGTTGCTCTAGTTAGACTTCCTTATAATGCGGCTTCTTAGCACAGTTAGAAGATTCTGATTTGCTTCGACGCTGAAAAGGAATGGATAGCTTGGCTACTGGAGCTGGGTGAGGAGGACATGTCCTAATTCTGCTTTTGGTATGCGATTGGGTCATTTATGACTAATTAAACACGTGATGGCACATGATTATAATAGACTTTTAAGTTAGACCAATTTAACTAACTTAAATTAAGGGGCCAATTTGAATCCCAGAAGTGTTTATAGATGAGTCTTCGTTCATTTCTCTCCAAATAGAATGACGCAGTAAAAACCAAGATTATAGGACTTTCCAGATAATTTTTACATTTAAGTTGAAAAATAATAGTCTAATACAAGTACTGGACGAGTGAAAGCTAATTAAGTATTTTGTACAAACTGAAGAATAAAAAAATAAGAGATTAATATCATCAAATCAAGTGCCAAAGAAATTAATATAAAGAAGAAGACCTGAGCAGTCAACCAACAAAGTTTGATCACCGGAAAAGCCTCGGTACCGATCTCCTTGGCACTTTGCCTTCGAGCTTTAGTCTTCTATAAGCTTCTCTTATATGGCAAGGTCTGATTGGCCCAGATTCTTTCCTCTCTGTCATCACCATCCTAGCTGGAAAACGTAGTAGCACAATAGGAAAAAAATATATATATCAGAAGACCTAGCTGCTCAAATTTCTATATAATTGTACAGCCTAAACCAACAAAAAATCTTGGCTTTTGGTTATGCAATTCTGAAGATGTAAACTGCAATGTATGCCGCAGACCAATAGTTAATTATAGAGCTTAATTTTATGGTCTAAGAAACATCGTTTCTATAATTCTCATTCACATGGTAATTTAGTTTATGAGTCACAAGCATTGTTATTTGGAAATTAAATATACTGACAGTGACAAGTGGGAGATATACACAAACCTGTTTCAACAAGTTCACCGACAAACATTTTTGCTATTCCACAAACTACAATTGTCATCGGTAAAGAAATCTTCTGTGATCCAGTAATGCTCACTAACAACTGCATTCACACGACAAATGCAACAAATTAAGGCCAACTTCAATGTGCCCAGAAATCAATTAGTACAAGAACTTATGGCGTTTCTATGAAAGCTGCAAAAAAACAAAAAAAAAAAAAAAAAAAAAAGCCTGCAAAAAAGAAAAAAAAAAAAAAAAAAAAAAAAAAAAAACAATAAGGTAATTTGCAAACACAGAATGTGTGTATGTTCGGCTGAAAACGATCTTCTATCTTATTTTACAATGTGCAGAGACAATATTTATCTTTCATCTTCTGGCTTATGCCATTTTTTCTCCCTCTTTCTATTTCTATTTTTTCCATTCTTCTTATTTCTTTTTCTTACTTTTAGTCGTGATGCACACATAAAATACGTATGTTGAGCGGATCAAAGCCTTACAATAAAACAATAAAGCAAATCGCCTAATAAGCATATTGTAGTTTGTGGGACAGCGAAAAATTTTGTTGGTGAATCTGCCGCAGACCAATTTGTGTACAGCTGGATTATCTGATGATAGAAACATCAGTTTCTAATTTCTATCCTCCTCAATAGTGTTTCAACTAACAAGTGATCAACACTATCATTCTGGAAATAAAATATATTGACAGGCAGGAAACATACTCAAAAAACCTGTTCCAAGAACACCAACAAAAGATTTTGCTATTCCGCAAACTACAATATCAAATGAACTAGAACAAAAATTCTTGGGAATAGACAACATTTTGTGGTCAAAATGTTCATTATGCAATAGAGAAGTAAAGCCCAAGGAAAGGGATAAATTGAAAGACAATAATAAAAAAAGAGGAGAATGCAGCAATAGAAAAAGCATACCCTTCTCATGTTAGCCTTCTGAAGAGCAGATCTGCGGAATGATTCATACCTGCTCATTTGTCCTTCAGTGAACTGTGATAAAATAGCCCTGAATAAGGATCAAGGAGCAATAGCTCAGACTTCAGAAGAATATGCCCTTTTGTACTTGATCAAACAAGGGAGATAGAGAACAACAGACTGCCATTTAGTACTCCATGAAGCATCTCATATGTTTTACAAGGCATTTCAATTGGTTCAATTTGATTGTTCATTGTCTTCAAGTAGCAAATCACGTAACTCTAATCATGCCTCATTCTCCCCACCCCCCCCCCCCCCTCCCCCCCCCCCCCCCCCTCTCTCAATTAGAACTTTCAAGAAATAACAAGCAAGCTATTTTACAAGTTCAATAAAAGAAACTCTCTAATGTTAATATCATTAGTTCAATGAAGAGGCTTAGATTTTAAGAACAAAGGTGGGTCCATCTTATTTTCAGGGTCATCACAATTGGATCATGATCATGTTACCTATTCCAGTGTGTTAACTCCATCCAAAGTCTCTTTTATTTTCCATCCTGGTCCACTTAGAAGGATCTAGGGCTGATGCATCTGAAGTATGAAGAAAGATTATTATCCCTCTTTATTCAGGTACTTGGATCTAGATCTGATGTAAAGCCTTAAAGTTAAAAAATTGGAAAATAATAGAACGAGGAACATAAAATTCCTGTTAGAAGCATCTAGGGCAGATAGATAAGCAAGAAGAAAGATATTATCCCTCTATAGATGCTTGGACTTAGACTGGTATTAAGGCAAAAAGCTAAAAAAATGTTCAGAAAATAATGGGATGAAAAAAAATAGAATTACAATGTGGGCAGGCCCTGTGCTTTCTTGAGTAACACGAAAGGAAAGCAAAGATCACAAGGGCAACAAACAATTTAGACTACAGGAGCAAACTAGATATGCATTTTATGTGCTTATGAAAAATAAAGCAGAGTCAGAGCTGATTTTTACAAGTTGTTACTGATCAATCTCCTATTATTTAATACTGTAAAATTTTATATCTTGCCTATCTTGCTTAACATATTTAAAAATTTTAGCCAAAAAAAACTTTCATTCTAGAAATCCACATAAGTCTGAAAAAAATATAAAAATAAAATTGGAACTTTAAAGTAAATAACTTTGACATTCGTATTAATCTCTCTTCATAATATAATAAATTAGATACTTGCTATTGGACCAATAGATGAACAATAAATTTATATAAATGGCAAATAATTTAGTCAATTAGGTATTACTGTAAATATCAAGTATGAATATGTAACATTTAAGCGTGTGTATTAGGAATGGAGTGCAAGAATTACAAGAAACTAGAAGGTGTGAAATAAATATATTGCAACTGAAAGCTCCTTAGTTGATGTATCCAAAGATTTTCAAACTAAGTCCTAAGCAATTGTTTTTAGTTAATGAATTACTCAGTCACGCCTAAAAAAATGTTTTCCTAGAAGAATCAGCAACCAACAGAAGTGAGCTCAGAGAAAAATAAGAATAAGAAGAAGAGCTACTGAGTTTATTCCGGAAGTCCCTGTGAAACTTGTCCTTGCAAGTGATGCACATCACACATAATTTGGCAGTTCTCTGAACTATCACAGCCTCACTATTTCAAATCTCTATTTCCCACCTTAAACAAAATTGTGCAAAAAGGTAAAAGATAAGCAGTTCCACCTTCTATCCACAATCGATCATCTTTCTCATTTCTAAAATTTGAAGATCTTACAAATGATAAAAGAACTCATTTTGGAGTATCTAATTTTGACTAAATATAACTAATTCATTAACTTAGCTTATCAGTATGGTATGAAAACATAAGCATGAACAACTAGAAGGGCAAAACAATGGAGAACAATTAGAAGAAGCTACATAAATGTATGAATATAAATATCATATAAATGATGTACTCACTGCATTCTAGCCATTTTATCTGGGTCAGCACTAGAAGGGAACTTAGAGAGCTCAACTTCCATATTATCCTCATATTCATCGTCATCATCTTCTTTGTTCTTGGCTTTGCTTCTAACAGCAGGCAACATAGGCATAGAAGTGGATGGGTCAGCAGGATGGACACCAGCACTTCCAATGTCATCATATTCTGGAACAGCAGCAGGGTCCTGAGAAGCAGCAGCAGGAGTTTGAGTCTCCAACTCATCAGGGCCAATGGGAGAATCAGGCGGTGACGGCGTGTCCACTTGCTCCTCATATGCTGCCTCAAATGGATCTTTCGATTGCTTCATTGCACTTTTCCTGCAATATTTTAAGTCCCATCAAACAAGTCGAGCATTTTTCACAAAACAAGTAAATCACAAAAAAGAGGACTCAATAGTCAATGTAACAATTTGGGGGATGGCGATTTGAAACCCTAATAAACATAAAGACCTCAAGGACTATGAGCGAGCATGGTAATCGGATTCAAGAGCAGAACCAAAACTTGGTTTTCATAAACTAATTAAAAACTTCAACTGAAAGTGTGCTTCGATGAATAACAGAGTTAACTATTATTCAAAGAAATTTGATTTTTTGGTTTTTTAGAGGACTGCTAGGGGTGAGCTGCGTGAGCATTCAGTTGGTTTTGGGCCAATTTTCAAACCGAGCTGAATTAAAAAGGAAATTGAATTAACCAAAAACCAAACTCCAAACTTAAAAAACTGGCCGAAATGGAAGTGAAAACCAAATTAACTGAATGGAAAATCCTGAAAAAATATTGAATTTGCAAGAATGACCATTCAAAACTGCCAAAATTGACTAGCATGATTACAAAAAGCAAGCAAAAAGAAAGAGTCACAGTCATCAACATAATAACCAAAAATTGGCTAATTCAGTTTGGTTTTGAATATCATAAGAGCGAATGCACAAAAATAAGTAATATATATATATATATAGCTAATCAGTTTGGTTTTGAATATCATAAAGCGAATGCACAAAAATAAGTAATATATATAATATATGTATGTATGTATGTATGTATGTATAAACCTATTGCTTAAAAAGTTTAATGTGGATACATGACAATTTACTTATTTACTAGTTTTATGAGAACTAACCTCTTTAGTTAGAGATCCATCAATTAAATTTTGATTTAAAGAACTTTTAAGAGCAGATAGCATAGCTTGAAACTGAATGATTTGATTTATGGAAATTTAAGGTTCCTAGTTACTATTAGCATTTATAACATAAATGAAAAGGATAACTAGTTCAAGTTGTTTGTTGATTTATAGGTCTTCCTAGCTAAAGTTCTTCCATTTCCTTCATGTTCCTACATATAACTGAAACGAAAAGAATTCACTTCTAGGCATCACTACAACTCCCAAAAAAAAAAAAAAAAAAAAAAAAAAAAAAAAAAAATGTTGTAGAGTCCCAAAAAAAAAAAAAAAAAAAATGTTGTAGAAGTCCACTTGAACTATGGTAATGAAAATTAAATCAAACCAGAAACACAAACCAAGCAAAAGAGAACTGAAAAACAAATGCTATAATGAGAATATGTTCTTCGCTCAGTTGTGCTTCACCAATAAAATGCTAATCACACACACAAAACAAAAACACTGAGAGTAAGTGCCAGCGGAGAAAACAATCAAGGATTACACATTTTAGTCTTCCTTATAGCTGGTCACAAACTACTATCGCAGAAACTGGATAAGTGCAAGCAAAGGCAAGCAATCATCAGTTGTAAAAAAATACAAGCTGGTGGAGGTTGGATGGCAGCGGGCAGGTACCACTAGAAATCAACTACCTGAACCCGAACCCTATTCTGATTATCAATTTAAGTACCCGAATCTCTTAAGGATTAAACCAACAATACCCGAATCCGTTTAGAGTTACCCGCATACTACCTGAACCCGTTTAAATACCTGCTTAATCATAAATTCATTCAATCCATTTGAAACCCGAATCGAACCCAAAAATGTAACAGAATATATTTAAAAAATTATATTAAAATTCAACCTGAATAATAAAAAAATTTCAACTTGAAATAATAAAACAACAATACTAATAATATTGATATAGAACAAAAAATAAATAAAATTCGACCTAAATAAATAATACACAATCAAGCCAATATCTCAATAAAAAATTTGACAATCAAAAATCTATTAAAATTCAATAATAATATAACAATACCAAATTAAAAATCAATTAAAACATAACAATACTGAACTAGAACAAAACATGTAGAATGAGAACTATATCCATATAAAACATAACAAACTAATAACTCAATAAAAATAGATACACAATTAAAAAGTGCATTAGAATAGAACAATACTAAAACAAAAACACAAGGAATTTTACATAAACATAATGTACATAATACAAACATAGTTTTTGAACTCCACTTTTCCAAGAACCAAGGTTGCAAGGATTAACAATCAATACACTAAACTCAGTTCCAACATCAAAGAGAAGAAGAATCTGTTCTTATGAACATTGATTATGTATAATAAATTGCCTAGTATTTAGAACTTTGTCAAAACTTTCCGATTATTTAATTTATACGGAATACCTATTCTATTCTCTCCATATCCATTCAACAAAACTAATCCAGGCTTTAGTCTACAAATTCCATAATATAATAAGGAAAGACAAAAACAATTGCAAATAAGAGATAATCCCATTCTCATATTCCAAAGTAATCATCATCAATATTCATAAGTTACTTAACTCCTAACCCATAACGTTATAGTCTTATAGAGCTTCAAAACAAAAACCCATTTTAACATGGAAAATAATAAATAAAACCTGCACAAAACCCACAAAAGAAACAATAAAACAATAATCATCTATCTTTGTCTCTCTCGGCTAAACCCACAAATGAATTCAACAATATATTTAAACCCCTATCTATATCTGTCTCTCTCGGCTAAAACCAAGCAATTTCTTTCTCTGTTTATATATATTTTATAAAAAAAAAAAAAAGAAAAAAGAAAGGAAAAGAAACGAAGGCACTGTTGGCGAAAACGAAAATTAAATAAATCGAGAATGAAAATAAAATTGAGAATGGAAACGGAGGAACCTAGCGCAAATGTTGAAGAGCAGGACTGCTGCGGAGGCGACGACCAAGGGCGCGGAGGCGATGGCAAGGTGTAGAGGAACGAGACTGTGAATGGTTAGAAGGAGAGGCGCAGTGAGTTGCCAGGAGAATCAGATTTTTTTTTTTTTTTTTTTTTTTGAGAATCAAGATTTTTTTTTTTTTTTTTTTTTTTTTGAGTAAATTAAAAGGAGAATAAAGATTATTGAGAGGGAATTTTGTTTTTTTTTTTATCATTAATGCATCCTAAAACTAAACGAACATAATTTTTAGTCATGCAACAGATTGATGGTAAAATTATTATTATTAATTTATTATTAATTATTATTATTTATTATTGTATAAATAATACTAAATTAATTAAATAGAATATAATTATATAATCAATATATAATAATCATAATACAATAAAAGTATTTAGTTTAATTAATTAAAAGAATATAATTATATATCAATATTATAATAATCATAATACAATAATAAGTATTAAGTTTAATATTTTTATTAGATAATATGTCCATTGGATTATAATTTATTACAACTCTAAACTAGACATATAGGTATTATGATAAAATACATGATAATACTAATAAATAAAATCACAGTACATTTAATTATATTTCAATAATATAATTATTGTATTCTAATAATAATACTAAATAAAGTATTGAGTTTAATTATATAATATTTGAGAATATGCATGCTATTTATAATTAATTAAACTTTGATAATTAATGAACTACTAATTAAAATAAAAGGACATTTAAAGATGTAATTATAATTATGACTAAAAGTTCACTGGTGATATTTTATACGAGTTATATTCTAAATTATTATAATTATACCTAGATTTTATATTCCACATAAGTCATATTTTATATTAATATTTAATTATAATTATCATTAAAAATTCACTGATTATAAGTAGTTTTTTAAAAATTTTAACACTATTAGCATTCTGTTCAATTAATAACTTTTTTTCTTGATTTTTAACAAATTACATAATTATCAAACTATATAAAAGTCAACTAAATTATTAAAACACGAACACTATATGTATAATTTTGTTATATATATAATATGTATTTCTTTTCAGTAGTTTAATTATCTCATGGAGGTCATGGATTTAATTCCACCATTCATCACTTTAAAAAAAAGGACTAACGGATACCCAATCTGTTAAACTCAAATCTGATGCAAGTATTTAAATCATTACTTGACCTAGAAAATTGAGTAGGATGGGTACCTGTCCCAAACTTATTCTGATCAGATAATCAGTATCTCACTGGTTAAACCTAAACTCAACACGGATATTAAAATCATTATCCAACCTATGCCGTACTTGCAAAAAATCGGGTCAGATCAGGTTAAATTGTATCCCTATGTGGAGATTGTCGAAAACAAAATTAAATGAATATCAAAACGCATATGCAAATATTCCAAAATTTTATAATTAGAAAAAGAAAAGAGTGAGAAATTGAAAAAGGTAGGAAAAAGGAAAGCTTCTCCAGATTAAAAGACTAAAAATTTTATTTTCTTATATAACTACGCCTCTAACAAAATTACATACCAATGTCAATACCCAAAATTGAATGAATTTAAAACCTAACTTGATTATAAGGACCCAGATCACAAACTAAGTCACTGGTATTTTTTTATGTAAACATCACCAATCAAAATGTATAAATAGAAAATTGTTGATTTTGCAAAAATCAAGTTCTGTTATATTTTGCCTTTTTAATTATAATTGAAATCTAAAAAAATAGAAGAATTTCAAGAAATACCTTAATTGCCACTGCTCACATAAAAATGAATCGAAGAAGAGGAATAAAAATAGTATAAAGCCGTGAGTAGTGATATAGAAAGGAAAAAAACAATAAAATGAGAGGACCACCAAAATCGAAATGAAAAGGAAATCCAGAAGGTTTGATAATATTGTTTCGTCTAGTTTGATGGTACACAAAGGTAATGTTAAATATAAAGATTACAAAAACACCCTTATCATGGAAGATTTATAAATATAGCCATGAATAATTTTGAAAATCAAAATTTTTTACCATGCTTACACTCCAATTCTGTGTATTGAATATTGGAGTGTTTAGATTGATTTCCAGCCTATCAGATAACTTTAAAAAAATCATCATCTCCCTCAAACCTCTTCCCAAATGACTAAATAATCTCCATTTACCTTTATTATCCAAACCCACCAAATAACCTTCATTCAAATAATCTGTTCACGCCAGACTCCAACCACCAGAAGACTTATCCGCTTTTGATCAAGCAATCTCATCCCATACTGGATTGCAAAATTCGCATGGTTTTGTTTCGCAGATGAAATGGAAAACTTTTCAGGAGGTCACCCAAACAATTTGTTCACGCCTGACTCCAATCACTAGAGGAATTGTCCAGAACTCCCTAGGAGCTCACCCATCCTAGGATTTTTGTTAAGAGAGTACGCTTAACCTTGGAGTTCTTTCAACTCTCCATTCCACCAAAAGGCGCTTCTGATGATTAACTTTCCCATTTTCGATATATGATCCGATTCATTCATGTGCCCCACATTCCATTATCCATAGCTAGCCTGCCATCCTAGAAGCTAGTCAGGAGCTTTGCTCTACTCGCCCTCTTAGGATCCCTTTGCCGAGTCGAGATGTCACAAACCCACCAGCTTCCGCGTGGTTCGTCCTCAAACCATACATCTACTGGAGAAGGTCCGGCTCTGATACCAGTTGTCTCGCCCGACTCCAACCACCAGATGAATTGGCCACTTTGGATCAAACCAATTTCATCTCATATTGGATCGGCAAGACCCGCACAGTTTTGTCCCGTAGGTGAAATAAGGAACTTCTTAGGAGGTCACTCATCATAAGATTTCTAATAAGCGAGCATGCTTAACTCTAAAGTTCTTCAAACTCTCTAAACCATTCCATCAAAAGATGCCTCTGATGATTAGCTTTCCCCTTTTTGATATATGATTCAATTCATTCATGTGTTCGCATTTCACTACCTATAGCTAGCATGCTATCCTAAAAGCTAGCTAGGAGCTTTGCCCTATCCGCGCTCTTAGGATCGCTTTGCTGGGTCAGGATATCACACATAACACTCATTTCCATATTTGTTTTATTCCTTGTCTCTCTTCATTCATGTTCGCTCTTTGCTCTTCATTTTCCTCAAAAATGTATAAAATTCTTCACATCTAGCCAGTAAAACTGGGAAAAAAGAATGGAGCTTTAGCACCATAACATAATCGTTCAGTTCTCATATAAAATGTAAAAGAAAGAGTAAAAACATGAGAGAGTGACAAATCTCAAATGAATTGGGAAAAGAAAAGAGTTAATGTGTTGCTTTTTTAATATCAATGGTGTGTTGCTTTTAAGCTTTTTACTAATTTTAGCCTCACCAAACAAGCAATAATCTCCACACTTATTTATTCCTTATTTACTCTCTCCAATTAGTTTTTTCTTTCTTTTTTTTTTTTTTTACATCAACTAGATTTGCTTTTACATTTTAGATTCTATGGATTTCTCTTGGCTAATTGACTCAAATCTCAATAATGTAAATGGTGGTAGCTGATGGTAGTGGTCAGTGGTAAATGATAACTGGTGGTAGTGACTACGATGATAAATAAATTAAAAAAATATAAATTTCTAAGGTTAATCAATGTACGAAAAATGTTTTACTTTCTCGAAAATGGAAAGTTATTTCCCTTAAAAAATGACTTAATTTTCCTTTGACCAAAAAAATATTTTCCGTTGACTTATTTTCCTAAACAACCCAAACAACGGAAAATTGTGAAAAATATTTTCCTGCAAATTATTTTACGAAAACAAATGGAGCCTAAGTATCTTTTTTTTCACTCTATTTCCAAGCTTGGTTTTTGTGAAATCGAAAGAACATCAAAGTTCAAGTTAAAATGATTGCTTCAAGATTTCTAAGCTCCTTTTGTTTTAATCACACTTCTCTTCCTTTTATTTTTAACATTTCACTTGTAATATAGATTATTGTTTGTTTGAGTTTTTATCTGTTAAGGAAACTTCAATATAGCTTAGATCTTATTATTCATAGAATTTGTTTAATAAGAATACACAATAAGCGGAAGCGTACCTTGATCCATAGCTATTGATTACCTCGTTGTGACAATTCGATCTTATTATTCATAGAATGTTTAATAAGAATACACCAATAAGCGGAAGCGTACCTTGATCCATAGCTATTGATTACCTCGTTGTGACAATTCGATTCTCACCGTAACAGTAGATCTATGTTTCTTCACTCTGGCCTTTTGTACATAAGTTCTCTCTTAATGGTTAGAGAATTATCAACAGCAATGAGAGTTTTCTTTTTACATTCTCTTAAACAACCTATCACCGTTATGTGTTTAAGGTAACCGTCACACTCTCTTAACTTACGCTGTTGATTTCCTTAATCTTTCATAAGACAGAGGAAGGGTATTAAAATCCTAACTGGTCCTCATCTTATTAAGCCCAATAACCATCATCTTGAGCCACCTTAATTAGAACCAACCTTTTAATTACATAGGCCACTTACATTAAAATAATCTAACAATCTCCCACTTGGCCCATGTGCCATGTGCATTTCTTGAAAATCAATCATGTTAACGCTTAATTAGAATTAAAATTGGATCAAATTATGGTGGTGCACAAGTCATTAATCGACATGATTCCTTCCATACATCACAAACCATCTCAATTCATAATAACTTTAAATCGAGAATTGGATTCAACAAAATAATACATTGTTGCAAAACAACATTTTATTGTTATTCACAGAGTATATCCCAGAGTCTGTCCAATGCCATATAAGGATGTCGTCCTGAACATTTGTAGCTAAAGGGATAGAAGTAATAATTTCAGCAATAGAGGGGTGGAAAAGATCTTGTATCAGTGGCAAATTCCAAGCACGCGCCCCATTTGCCAAAATAAGATCAGAAACCCGTATATGCTCTATGTGACATCCTACCGAGTCGAGTTAAGTCGAGTTGAACCAAACCCGGTTGGGGTAGAAAAGGGTTTTTAAGTGGACTTACTTGAGTGAGACAAAAAGATCAAGGTATAAAGAGTAGGACTTATTTGCAAAAAAAATAAAAATAAAGTTGAGGTATTAAAATGTAACATGTCGAAACT